CGCATTTCCTTCCGGTTAGAACAGATTTCTCTATGGAAAAGTACGCATAAATGTACATTAGAGAAATTATCAGATTGCATGGAGTGCCCGTTTCTATAATTTCTGATCGAGATCCTCGATTCACTTCGAGATTCTGGAAATCCCTACATGAAGCATTGGGAACTCGCCTAAACTTTAGTACAGCTTTTCATCCTCAGACTGATGGACAATCTGAGCGAACGATCCAAATCCTAGAAGATATGTTGAGAGCTTGTGTAATTGAATTCAAGGGATCGTGGGAAAGATATTTGCCACTTGTCGAATTTGCTTACAACAATAGTTACCAGTCCAGTATCAAGATGGAACCCTATGAGGCTTTATATGGAATAAGATGTCGTACGCCATTAAACTGGTATGAACTCAAAGATCGAAGTGTTCTTGGTCCGGATTTGATTCAAGATGTGGAAGAGAAAGTTTGAGAAATTCAACATAATCTCAAAGTGGCATTTGATCGACAAAAGCCCTATTCTGATCTCAAAAGAAAAGAAATTGAATTTGAAGTTGGAGAAAAAGTTTTCTTAAAAGTTTCTCCTTGGAAGAAAGTATTACGATTCGGTCAGAAAGGAAAATTGAGTCCTAGATTTATTGGGCTTTATGAGATTGTAAAGAGAGTAGGACCTGTGGCATATCAGCTAACTTTACCCCATGAGATAGAAAAGATACATGACGTCTTTCACGTTTCAATGCTTCGAAGATATAGATCTGATCCCTCTCATATCGTGACACTAGAAAAGATTGAGGTTCGACCTGACTTGACTTATGAGGAAGAACCTGTTCAAATATTAGCTCACGAAGTGAAACAACTAAGGAATAAGACTATTACTTTGGTCAAAGTTCTATGGAGAAATCACAAAATAGAGGAAGCAACGTGGGAGCGTGAAGAAGATATGCGATATCAGTATCATCATTTGTTCGTGCAATGAAATTCGAGGACGAATTTTCTTAAGGGAGGGAGATTTGTAACATCCTCAATATCGGGTTAGTGATTTAAGTGTAAGATTTTTAATTCAATGACCAAACTAAATAAATTGAAAAGTAAGGAATTAATTGAAAGATGTTGGTGTAGGATTGATTAATAAGTGAAGAAGTAAAAGGGTAAAAGGGTCATTGAGCAAATAAAATAATAAAATATAAATTGTTGGTATTATAATACCCATGTGAATGAATTGAAGAGATAAGTTCCAGATTACTCATCCCCTTTTCTCTTCATATTCTTCCTCTTCAACGTGAAACCCAAGCTCAAGGTAAGAATCCGAACTTCGGTCGTTTCTTTGATTTTTAGCTTGGAAATTGAAGTTTGGATGTTATATAAGCTAAAGGAAAGCTTATATGACATTAAAACAACAAGATAAATGTTTTAGAGATAGATTTGAAAAATGGGTTTTAGATGAAATTTTGATATGGATGAGTGTTTGAAGTTTGAATAAGATTTTTGACTTGTCAAGAGATTAATTATGGAATATAGAGTGTTAGAATGATTAATAACATGTTGGAATTTGGGTATGATTCTTAGTTTTAAGAATTTGAATGAAATATTGGAAATAATAAAGTGTTGAAATGATAGAAATTAGTTAAAATAGTTGTAGTTAAGTTTGGTAGTCTGAAATGAACTTTGTATGAGAAAATTTAGTGAAGGGTTGATGATTTCGTGCTTGAACAGTAAAATTTACAGATTTTGCAGAGGGAATCGATACCCCTGGGGGAATCGATTCCTCCTAAAGAAAAAATTGAAATTGGTTCATTAAATTTGTTTAAGTTGTTAGAGGTTAATTGCAAGGTTTAGGATTTTGATAATTGTCTCAAAAATTATGTTCATGTAGATATCGAGCCTAAACGAGTTCCGGAACAAGGGACGAGTAAGATCGATCGAGGGAAAGGCAAAGAGATTTAGGTGAGTGCATATGCATATCATGATTATAGAAATACATTCAGGTCTAGACTTGTGATAAGTCTAGATTTTATATCTTGATACATGAATAATAATATGACTTCTAAGTGTACATTACTATGATCATATGTTATGTGTGTTATATGCATTGTTTTACCTGATTTATGTATTACATGAAAATGTGAGAACAATTATGCAACATGGAGTTATATGATTACATGAAAAGATGATATGAGCTATGTGATAAAGGTAAGAAGTTACATGTCTACGCGATATAAACTACGTGAAATGTAAAAGCCATGTTATGTAGATGAGAACTATAGGTATAGTTGGCATGCCAAGAGTAGAGGGTTTACGCGGTCTTTCGGGACAAAATTCTACGTGGTCCTTCGGGACGTATATGTATTCTTTGGAGCATGTATGATGTCTTTTGAGACATGTACTTGATCCTTGGTATATGTATATGATTCTTAAGGAATTTCTATGTGGTCCTTAGGGACATATATATGGCACTACGGTGCAATTCTACGTGGCACTTCGGTGCATCTCTACACGGTCCTTCGGGACAAATTCTACGTGGCACTTCGGTGCAAATTTATATGAGCTGTGGTGACAGCATAGTGCACAACCTCACAGTACTCACATACCTCGGGTTCTCAGTATTGTATCATGGGCTATTGAATCTATTGAACTTACGGAATTTATTATATGAATTTATGATGATTAAATTGAGAAGATTATTGGTAAGGTACATTGTTATGTAGCTTACATTTATTGCATAGATGTTTTCGTTACGTTTCATTTATTTATAGCATCATTGTTATATTTCATTGTTATTATTATTATGCCTCACTAAGTCTATGACTTAGCGTGTAAGCGATTTACACATAGGTACGAAGAACCAAGATTAGCAGAAATAGAAGTGGCAAAAACAATAACACTGTTAGAAGATCAGATCAAAAGTAATTACTAAAGTATGTATTTGATTGTGTATAATATGTTGGTATGTAAGAAATATAATAAGTTGTTAGTACTAACGCTCTGATCGACTTTTCTAATATTTTGAACACATTTATGTAAATGTATAGTAATGAACGGTTAAATTTTTACGAGTTTTATGTACGTTTTACGGAAGTACTGTAGTAGTATTGTAGCAGGGGAATCGATTCTCTGTAGCAGGGTACCGATTCCCTATTTGCATTCTGGAAAATTTGTGTAATCGGTACTGTAGCAGGTTACTGTAGGAGTTACTATTCACGGTACTGTAGCAGATTGTTGTTCATGCGTATTTTAATGTACACAAATACGTTTTTGCCTAAAATTTTATAATAAACATAATTCAATAATTTATTATAGTACTTTCTTAAAATAAGTTCAAATGTTTTGTTATTTTGTAAGGAAAAATGTTTTAAAAAGGCAATGTGACATCTCAGACTCGTATTTGGATCAGGTACGGGTTGGGGTGTTACAAATTATATGTTCGTTTATGTTTGTTCATTTATGTTCGTTCATTTATGTTCGAATAGAGAGCAAGTTGAATATGTTACGAAGATTATTGAAGTTATTTGGATTTCAAGAAGATTGTTTGTTGAACAAATTAACTTTAGATTTTATTATGTTCATATAGCTTATTTATGATTTAAGTATATTTTTGTCGTATTCGAACAAATTAACTCTAAAGTGGCAGGTTATATTAATGAATTTTAAGTTGTTATTCTTGTTGTTTACTTTTTTTTTACATTCGTTTGTTGTGTTCGAATAAGTTTTTTTTGGTGTTGTTCGTTTATTGTGTTCGTTTATGTTCGTTCGTTCGTGTTCGTTTATTATTTAAATGAACGAACATGAACAAGCTATATTCCTTAATGAACGAACATGAACAAAAAAATTTTATTCGTTTATGTTGTTTATTTATTAATTGAACGAACATGAACATACCTCTGTTCGTGTGCGTTCGGTTCGTTTACAGGCCTAGAGTTGAGTGACCAGTTTGTAACTAATTGATAATGTTAGTGGTCAATTTGTAACTTTTAAAACCTTAATGGGGAAAATGAAAGTTAGCTCAAACACCAGTGGCCAACTGTGTAGTTTACCCTATTATTAAAAGACTTAATTATAAAATAAATACCAAAACTATAGCGTTTTTCACAAATAGATGTCAATTTGTTTTTGAATGATCCATGTATTTAACGTTAAACATTACCACTTTAAATGTTTGGGTCGTAAATACTATTAATTTTCTCTATTAAGTGACATATGTAATATTCTAGTAATTTTAAAATTTATTTAAAATTGAAAAATTAAAATTATTTTTTTTAAAAAAATTGAAATAACTCCAAAACTGTAAAAACCTTGTTTCAACACATAAATTCACATAGGCCATCGTCATTTGCCGTCAACGAAGTTACAGCCGACCTCACCTTCCTCTGAAGATCAATAACCCTATGAAATCGTGATCAATCGACGACCAATCAATGTTTTTGTACCCCGCAAATCTTAGGTTGAAAATCGTAGCCCCAACGCGATCCCGACGACCAATCGGTGAAAATTACGGTGGCGTATGAATAAGAAGATGACAAGAACTACGTCGGCAATAGATGTTATGACCGACAAGGGCGACGACGATGAGTTTTTTAGCGATTTGAGTTTTTTTAAAATTTAAGAAAAATACGTTTTTTTATAAATATAATAATATTTTTATTTTTTAAAATTCAAATTACCAAAATGTGACACGTGTCACTTAACAAAAAAAATTAACGATAGTCATGACACGAACACTTAAAATTGTAACATTTATAACGTTAAACATATTAATCATTCAAAAAAATGTTTGAGCACCTATTTATGAAAAAATGGCATAGTTTAGACTAATATTTTATAATTAAGTCTATTAAAAAAGTTATTTTTAATCCAAAATAAAATTGGAAATTACAAACTTGCCCATGAAGTATCAATTTAGATTCAGGAATATCCATATAACAGTCAATAAAAAAGGTGATACGTGTAGTGGGATCCACTTGGAATATTTCTACCATCACTTAGCGAGCAAGGAGTGTGTATACAAGTATCATCTTGACCCGAAGTTCCCTAAGCGCTCTTCTTTCATTTCATCTTCTTCAGGTTTTTTTATTACTACTAGTTTCTTTTAAGCAAATCGAATGGAATGGAATGAATACAGTCAAGGGATTCAGATTCCACCCAACTGATGAAGAACTCATCGGGTTTCTACAGATCAAAACCTCCGACCGTGATTCCCTTGTCCAATTATTGATGAAATCCCCGACATCTGCCGGTGGGAGCCTCGGCAATTAGCTGGTAAATACTTTCTATGAACTCCAGTTTATTCTAAATATATCATAAAAAAATATTAGAGCTTTGTTGAAATGTTATGGCTTCTTTTATTTACCCAATTTAGTGAAATATATGTATGTGCTTTTTTTTCCAGAGAGTTCGAAATTGCAGGCCGGGGATCGATTATGGTCCTTCATATACTCACCAAAATATAAATACCTCAATAGTAAGCCGATTAACCGAACAACCGGTGAAGGTTATTGGAAACCTACGGGCAATGCTCGAAAAGTTGTAGACCCTGAATCACAAAGGGGATTGGAACCAAGAAAACTTAGGTTTATTACTAGGGCCAATGTAATGATAACAAAATAAAGACTTGTTGGGTCATACACGAGTATGAACTCAAGGCTGGCCCTAACTTAATTGACGCTGATCAAGTAAGTCATCCTTTTGTTTCAATTAAATTTGTTCATAAGCTTCACTGCAGGAATATCTTGTTTTTAACTTTTAAATGTTTGATATTTTGTTTATGTCCTTTGATTTGTTGTGGAAAACATTTAATCTTTGTTAACCAAAGAAAAGGGTCCATGTTTCGATCAATGCTAGTAAATAAGATCAGCATAATATCAATTACGATGATCATAATCGATTCGACAGTGTTGAGAGCTATGTCAAGCAATCAACATGATATCGTTAATGAGGGTGTAGTCCATGACACATCATCTAGTGTGGTAAATTCTATTGCTGAGGATGCAAACATAAAAGTAAGATGACGGATGTGGAATTTCATAATCATTTATCTGTTTAGACGATTGACTATCTAAAATGGATATTATTTCTGGTTCAGGAAACTCTACACCTTAAAGAGATGTTAAAAGAATGCGATCAACCTAATGATGTTAATGGGGCTCAAAACTTTATAGCATTGTTGAGAAAGATGATGAGTCCTATAGTTCAGTTCTTACTAATGTTGGTGAAACTGTCACCGATGAAAGAAGCAATCAACATAATGTAGTTGTTGCAGTTTCGGGATCGGAAATACCTTCTGGCTTCGAATATCTTGTCGATGACAACTTAATTCCGATGTTAGAAATCTATTTTTATTAGTCTCTTGACTCATTTGTTCATGCAGGTTATGATAAAGATACAAAGAAGAGAGCTTTTTCTTCTTCTCATGTTTCATCAAAGCTAATTGGATTCAAGATCAATCTATTAGCAACAGAAAGTATGATGGGTTCATGAATTCAATTCTTGTTGATGATGATGATATGCTTACCTCCAACAAGAAAACAGACAGCAGTGCTTGCCTGCTGAAAGTGAAGCCTTTGACTTGCCTTGCATAGATGCAATCAAATCATCCGATTCGATAGAGAATCCTAGGAAAAGACCGCGTCTTCCTCATGACGGCAACGTAGAAATAGCAGAGGCTCAAGTTTGCAGAAACATCAGAGGGAGTGCATTACCAAATATTGCAGAAAGTAAAGAATGTTCCTTTTTTTTTAATCTTGGAAGGGTTTTCGTACTGTACAATTAGAAGTGCAAGCGATGATATGTGGAACCTAATGTGAGATAACATATGCTATTAAGTATATAAGATTGATGGTTTTGTTTTATAGTTTTGCTCTGAGATTTTGCAGAATAAGAGCGCATTTCCTGCACGAGTGATGCCATGTTTCTGAAGAGGCTACATATATAATGTACATTCTAGCAGTTTTTACTAGTTTTGAGTTCTTGTCAAATCTAAACTTTACCATCAATGTAACTCGAATGCATTACTCGTCTCCGAATAGAATTAAGATAAAATATAGGGCCACCTGAGCAAAGGAACCCTTGTGTTCTCCCCCAAAAATATATCAGGTGGAAATGGAGTACAACTGGCATAATTTAATGTGACTAAGAAGGATTAAGGCTTCTTCTAAAATAAAAGTATTTGTGAGCAATTATCATTTTGCATGCCCTCCATCAGTCTAATAACAATGGTGCAAGCCGATGATGAAACTAGTACCACTTATTTGGGGTTTTAACACTAGATATCTGCTTACCAGTAGATGATAATAATGAGATTTATCTTTGCTTGTTACCCGAAGAGGGAGCCTTTTACTCGGCCTCATTCTTTGGAAGATGAGAAGCTATTGACTCCTTGTTTGCTGTTCCCAGTCACCGACCGTTCTCTATTGCAGGTTCAGTACTTTTCTGTGGTCCGACCCCGAGCCTTTGCTTGTATTCTGTAATCATCATTCAAAACAAACCCATTGAATGTTTTTAAGTTATCACAGCTGAAAACAAGCAATACAAACAAGGTTTTTACTTTTATTGGTAATTGAATGGCGAGTATATGCCAAAAACTCATCCCACTTGAACTTTCTAAGCTCTTGTTTTTCCTCCTCCGAAAGCTCAAAGTTAGGCTCCCTTCCACACATGAAAGCGGCTCTACATATAAAAACATCTCTCTATCAACATTGTTACTCAGTAAGACAGTTTATTACCAAAAATCAACCCAAGGAAACCATCTTAGCAAATTACAAAATGATAGAGACCAGCATTGTTTACTTACAGTCGATGATAAACTAAAAGCCGGTGAAAACTATCGAAAGCAAACAATACGGGAACAAAAGTTCCAGGCAAATTCAGCTCTTTAATGGTCCGTTAAGATAAAAAGATGATCACGTATACCTTCACTGCTTTTCAGTACATAGCATCCTATATTCTTGTGGAATTTGCATGAGAACTTCCGAAGAAATTTATTAATAACTATGAAGAACGACTTTACCTCATTAAAAGTTATGCATGAATATAAATGAATACCATTTTTCCGTATCAGACAACAATATATGAAGCTTAAAGGATTTTTTGCAATTACATCAAACTACACAATACAAGCAAGATAAAAGCTAACTTATTACCTGTCATATAAGCGGGCAGCTTCTTCTTGCGAACCAACAGTGCCTAGGTGAATCTGTTTCTTGTCAACTTTTATTGCAGCCTGCCATTTCATGTTTTTGAAGTATACACCCCTCATTAGACAGGGTTCTTGGTTTTGAATATGCTTCCTTCTGTGTCTCTTCCTTCGTTTGATTGGTTGCTCTACAGATTATACATTGTACACAGGCATCAGTCAAAATGTAGAAATTAAAAGGGCTCATAGCATCGGACTTTGACGCTACTGCATGATTACATGTTTAAATAAGGAAACGGCTCAACATCAACTTAGTTCTGAGATATATGCATTCATCTTTATTCTAACAAAAAGGGCTAAAAGATAAACACCGACTCCTGCTGAAATTGCTCCTAGATTTATGTCATTCCTTTATCAGAAGGAGAACTCTCCGATAGCCCAAAAGGAGACATAAAGTCCAGTCCAAAACTCGTATGGCAGTAAAATGTTGATTATGTAAGAGAAAAAAGTTAAGAAAAGAATGAGAGGAGGAGATAGAGAAAGGAGGAAAAAGCAACACCAAGCCATAAACAAGTGAAAATTTCAGTTTTGACGATATTAACGAACAAAAGGAAAATGTGTTTCCAAAGATATAAACCTGGAAAAGGTTGATTATGATGCTCTTTTGATGAACAAGAAATGTTTGGTGACCCGCAGCTAACCTTAGCAATGGTTTCCTGAGAGAGCATTAAACAGTTTCATTTACAATTCTGAAGTAAAAGACAGAACTGAACAGTGCATATATCTTGGCATTTTCCTATCATGAACTTAATAATCTAAATCATAATTGCTTAAAATATTCATTATGAACCTCCATTTTGAGGCATGCCAATGAAATAAACTAAAAAAAACACAAAATATTTGCTAAAATTCCAAAACAGCAAAGGGTATCCACAAACAGTAAACGGATTCTGTAATGCAAACAGCTTATTTCCTATTACATGTTCTGAATCAAGTGTGCAGTTGGCCAGTATGTGAAATATGTAAGCACTTCAATATCATTTTGATTGACAACTGAATATTTATCATATGATTCAAGCTCGAAAAGGAACCATGATCTATTAAACAAGTTTTGTGGCCCGGGAACCTAGGAATCCTAAGGATCACATATGTGGCAAAGTTGCAAACACAAGGAAAACTACCATCATTACCAGTTGCATATTTTCTTTCGACTACAAGTGAAGAAATAATTCTTTCTATTCAACGATTCCCATACAGATCTGTTAAAGGAGGCAAAAGGCAAGTAGCACATACACCTATGTTTTCTCATATAGATCCACCTTTTAGCTCACTAACCACACATGCCACCAATAGATGGCTTGGATGTTCATATAACAATAAATACTAAACCAAACATGAATATTGACCGATCTCATGAAAAGATACAATTGTGACCTCCTGCAATGCAAACACAGATTGCAAAACAATGATGAAGGTAAAATCTATTCTCTACCTGTAATCATTGATAAACACATTATATGATGTTTGCTTAATTAAATAAAGAAATAGTATACAAACAACTGATACTGACACAACCAAAAAACAAAATTAACAGTGAAACCATTAAATACCACAACTTATCAATCAATTATTAATACAATCTTACCCTGTGCATGTGTTCGGCAGAATCTGAGGGCATGGGATGCACACTAACTGATTTTGCATTCTGACTTGAACTTTCAGGGGCATTCCCATTATCAAAAAATCTAGAAAGTGGAGTCAAAAAGGAACATTTCCCTACAAAAGGTCACCAAATTTCGTGAATGACATTATTCAATCATAATTTAGAACTTGATTAACTCTACCATAGTTTACTCAATTACAAAGGCAAACACTTGAAGGACACACTTTATATAACACGATATAGAAAATGTTCCCACTCATTGATATCAATAAGAGCAATTAGTTATACAAGATAAAGAACATATCAACTGAAATTTACCGGGGCAGAGTCCCAGGAGTCTGCGTCTACGTAAGCTCACCATGTTGGCAACCTTTTAATCAATGAAAAATGGCTAAATAGATCCTCCTTTGCATCCATACATATGCTTGTGCTCCTAAGGTTACCAAAGATGGGTGATTTATAAGTGGATTAAACAATTAGAAAATGATGAAAAATAAAGAAGATGTTGGAAAATGAACAAGATGGCAGGTAAAAACAGAAGGCTGTTATAGGAAACAGCTTCATAAGATGAGTAAACAGGAACTAAGATATCACCCTATTCTAGTTACCTATATATCAAAATGATAAAAAGGACAAGAGATACAAGGAAGGCCATCAAAACTATGAGCCAATGCAAATAACTTGACGCTCCTAAGAAATTTAGACAAGAAATTCAAGGGAAAATAGAATTTCCAGGTGAAAACTAGATGTTAATCAACTTTTTGTTACCAAATAGTAATATCAACCACACGTACTTCTATTCGGTAGGCTTAAAACCATCTCATTACACGTACGCTTGATTTTGATTTTAATAATGCAGCATAGAGAAGGAAAGGGGTTAGATTTCTAAGAAGAAAACAGCAAACTTGATGATGGTAAAACTGAGATCGTTCGTAAATGGAATTAGAGAATAATAATATGAACAAATCAATGCAAATCCCACGAATACGTTTGCAGTCAACCCTCAACCCCTATTAAGATGAAATTGTATTCACTTCTAAAAGTTAACCAAGCTCCGGATAAGGGGGGAAGATGACAAGAAGCTCAGCCAAAGTTATTATTATTATTATTATTATTATAAAAAAAGATAAATTCATCATAATTTGCATAAAGTAAAACCAAATCTTTCATCATGTGAAGCTAACAAAGCTGCCCAACGAGACTGCCTAATAAAAATCTCAATTATCTCACCCTTGAAAACAAGTCAACCCCACCAACCTACCACCTTTCATGCAAGCGAAGGCGGTGAAAAACACAAGAGAACAAAAAACCCAACCCCCAAAACACACAAAAATCAAAGAAGAAAAAGAAAAAAAGGAAACCCACAAAGCCAAAACCTTCTTTAAGCACATCAAAGCCAAAAAAATGGTCAGGACTCCGTGACCAGAAAAGGCAAAAACAGCCCATTACAGAGAAGAAAATAAATAAACAAAAACAGATAAAAAAAGTCATTGTTTTAATCAATTTTTTTATACCTGAGAAAGGGAAAGTAAAGGTGGTTGTTGAGACAGCCAAGAAACCGAGAAGACAAAAACAGGGTTTCTTCAAAGGATTAGAACAAGAATCTGGTAAAAGAAATTTCAGGATTGTCTGTTGTTAAAGAAAAAACGAAGGAAGGTTGTGAAAGAAGTAGAAAGAGTGAAATTAAAAAGTTGGTATGTGGTGGTGGCGCATGCATCTTGTTTGTTTTTATGCTAGTTTTTTTCCCGAGTTTTGCAAAGGCCAAGTCTTTGTGGAAAAAAAGGAGAGAGAACGATGAATGAATATGAAAGAGAAGAACGTGTGCTTGTATTTTCGCGTTAATTATTATTCTCATTTTACCGGCTAAACTCTCAAGATAATGTTCTCGAATAAATTAATTCACGAGATAATGCACTTCTCAGATTAATTGCTCAAATAGGGTGAAATCTACAGTGTTGGTTGTAGGTCGTCATGCCATCCGGGTGACCTACTAGGTCGCCATGTCTTCCCGGTGAGCTATGAGAGAGATTGCATGTGTCATGCACGTTCCAACACGTTGGGCATCCGAAGGCATCCGACCGAGGGCATCCGACCGATGCCATTCGAGCGAGCTATGCGAGGGCATCCGAGGGCAAGAGGAATCACGCGAGGAGCAGGAGGAGTGCATGGCGACCTACAAGGTCGCCAGGAGTGCATGGCGACCTATAAGGTCGCCAGGAGTGCATGGCGACCTATGCTGGGAAGCTGCCACGCCGTAGGTCGCCCGGAAGGCATGGCGACCTACGGCCAACACTGTGCAATTCACCCTATTTGAGCAATTAATCTTGGGAGTACGTTATATCGTTAAATAAAATTTTCGAGAACATTATCTCAAAAATTTTGCCCATTCTACCCCCCTCCTTTTTCAAAATTATTTTTTAAATATAAATTTTTATACAATACTTATAATACTACTAAGACTCCTACTCACTCATAGATCAAATAATACTAAACATTTAAATATTTAATTTTATATTTTCTATAATGTATTAAAAATAATATCAATAGAGTTAAATATAATTGATCTAGACATTATCTCTCAAACCTCATTAATTGTGCTTTTTAATAGTTATCATAATACATTTTTATACATATTAATTTTAAATTATTTTTAAATACAATTTTTTTATTTATATTCAATTATTCAAATAAATTATATTTAGGTATAAATTACAGTTCTGGTAAACAAACGTAAGCTTTATCCAAATAAAATGGTGTGATTTATAGTCTTCTTCTTTATTTAAATTTCTTTTATACTATCATTTAATCTATAAGGCGTGGTTAGGAACGGTGGCCGGCCATTCGGTCGGTTGGCTTGGGTTGAGAGAGTTTAGAAGAGAATGAAATAATGGTATTTAATAAATGAGGTTGAAATGAATTTTTGTTTAGGATTTATGGGGTATTTATGGGAGTCGAAGGCTAAATAGCAAATAGTTTAATTATTTCTGTAGTCCCTGAACTTTTGATGTGTAATTTATTTTGGTCACCCGTTGTAAATTTGCCCATGAATTTGAATTTATTCAATTTAATCCTTGTACAATTTTTTTATATTTCGCAAATTGACCCCTCCTGACTTTTTATTTCTTCTTACAGCATCCAAATATTATCAATTCGTTCCTTAATTTTAAATTTGTTGCATTTAAACCCTTTTAATTTAAAGTTTTCTTTTACTTTATATTTTCTTAATTTTATTTTATTTTACTTTAATAATTAAAACTGATTTAATTTATATTTTTAGGTCAATTTCAAATCCTTCAATGGTTTGTAGTTCGGGTCAAACTTTTAAATTTCAATTTAACTTTTAATGTTCGCAATTAAGACAACCGGAAAATTAAATTGGTACCGAAAGGGCAGTGCAAGGGTGTTAATCCTTACTTGATTGTAATCGACTCTCGAATCTGACATATTTTTTGTAAAACGTAGATCATGTAAGGTGGCAAATTAAGGTGTCCGGTCAACCTAAATTTTTCTAAAAAATAATAAATCATCGGTGGCGACTCTAGCATGTTTTATTTAAGTCGAAGCCTAATTTCGGGCCCACCCGAAGGACGGTTACGATATTTGGCGACTCCACTGGGGAAAGGTAAGTGAGTCAGGCCAAAATTAATTTTCAATTATCTTCTTAAGTGAAAATTATGAGTTTAAATTTTAATTTATCTGTTCGATCATTATTATTTATCTTTGATTATCTTTTTTCCAATAAATATTTGTACTGATATTTTTCAATGGTTTCAGTTTTTCAAAATTTCTCTCAGACTCTATACCCGAGCTCCAAACCTTTTCGTAAGTGGAGGTGAAAGCAACGCCTTCATGAGAATTTATTCTTCGTACAGGCGTAACAAGTAACATTCGGGATTCATATACCTTATGTCTTCGTGAGAATTTATTCTACGTACAGACATAAGGGTATGTGTCCTCTCGAGTTTAACTTGGTCCACATAAGCTTGTAATGGACTTAGGACTGAGGGTCTGGCAAGCCCAAGGGGGCACCAGCAAGGAGAACTCAAGTACATTTTTTTAGAACCTAAACCGGGAGACTACAAGGAATTAGAGCCCACTCTGAAACTCCATTTCAAAACCTAGGATGCTTGATTTATTTCCTGTTTTTTTTTTCTGTTCAAAGCATGCGAACTAGAAAATATGCGGTTAGGACTTGCTCAAAAATTAACATGCGGGATAGAAATCATGTCTGGGTAAAAATAAAAGCATGTAGGGTAGAAATTTTTATTTTCGTTATTATTTTGATTGTTATTTTTATCTCACTAACTTGTTTCCCTTTCATTTTTTGTTTTCTTTTTTTTTTCCATTCGCATAATTTTAAAGAGGTGATTGGTCCACAAAAAAGTGTTCATTAAACATAAATAATTGGCATTAATAGACAAAGGGTTGTAATGCAAGAGGTGAAAAACGAAGAGGTCCGACTATGGTCAGAGAAGACTCAGAAGGAAAAGGGAGACAGTCTGGAAGGTAATTATGTGTCAGATCTGGTTGGTTATGCTTCTGTCAGCCTTAAACAGAATGATGCTCAAGAATTGCGAAGTATTTAGGACAACTGGAAAAGCGACCAGAAACAGAAATTCTACCAGCGGTATGGTGATATCGTGTACTCTATGTCAAGATAGATGAGCCCCTAATTTAATCCTTAGTACAATTTTAGAATCTGGAGTACATCTGTTTTACATTCAATCAATAGGACATGGTGCCCACAATCGAAGAGTATACTACTTTACTACATTGTGAAGGAATCAGAATAGACCGGGTCTACACCAAACACATCAAAAGTCAGCCTTCAAGAATGGATTGGCAAAGGTTGCAGGGGTAGATGAAAAGTGGGTAACTGACCGGATTCAGCATAAGAGCAAAGGAGAGGGATTTGCTTGGACCCATATCAAGCAATTAATGAAGAATCATGCAGATGAATGGAGGGTGATTGACCTTTTCGTACTAGGTATCTACGGCTTGGTTATCTTCCCAAAAACTTTGGGATATATCAAGGCGGCTGTAGTGGAACTGTTCAAACAACCACCAAAGCGAGTAAACCCTGCACTTGTAATATTAGATGAAATTTTTCGTTCACTCAACCATTGAAGAAATACTAGGGAGGAAGATTTATAGGGTACACACAGCTTCTTCAGGTCTGGATTCATAGTCACTTCTGGAAGACTAACGAGATTTCTTACCGCCGGTTCAGCGCTACTTACTCTCCTTTGGGGGAATTCCTTACACTAAAGTGGCAATAAGGAATCCTAAAAGAAAAATGAGTAAGGGTATTCACACACCTCCAAGATAAGTACATTGTCTAGAGAGCCCCTTAGTTAACCCATAATGACATCCTTTATCGATGTGGAGACTCAGGAATCATAATGTTACTTAGATTATGGGGAGGAGTCGGATATTCTCCACTTTTGGCACTTCGGCATTATGGGGCATGCTAGTTTGTCCCAACTATGCATGGAATATTTGGATCATAATTCGCATACCATAAGGATAGCTACAAGAAGAATGTGAAAGATGTAGTTGGGTCATGGAATAAGTTATTCCATATGGATGTCGTGACTACTAAAGACATACTTACTCCAGATTATTTGGAATAACGGAAGTTAAGGAAGAATGACAACATTCCCATACCAGATCATGAAGATAATCGGACCATGGAAGAACATCTTAAACCAGTCCCCTTCGAATTAGAGATATCAAAGAAAGAATTCGAAGCTGAAAATGAGGAGCTGAAACAAAGGCTAAGGGAACTCGAGGCTGAAAGATTCCAATGGAAATTAGATGTCGATACTCAGAAGGATCGGGCAGACATGTTTGAAAAAGAACAGAAGAAAGTATTCTTTGAGTTGGTAGATTTAAGAAAGAGGTATCAGGAGCAAGCTTAGAACAATTCCAATCTGAAAAGATCTTTCAAATACTGGAAAGGTGAAGCCATCAGTCTGAAAAAGAAGTTCGAATGACAAGATAAAAATGAGACACTAAAAGAACAGTTAAAGACTTCCCAAAGACGTTTATTAGAAAGCCAACACCAGAACAAACGATTGAATACTAAGGTAGCTAATCTGGAGAGGTCTCTTCAAAGATAACAAGAACAAGATGGCAAAACCATAGCTGAGCTGGAGGCCATTGT